AGATGCCCCTTGTGCAGGAGTCAGTCGCAGGTATGAAAGGTCATCAATTTGACGGTCGATCAGGAGGTCTCGGGTTCAAGACTTCCAAACGAGTCACAGGATCTTCCAAAGAACTCTCAAATGTCGCCAGTGAAGGGAGCGATGTGCTCCCTCTTACGAGTACCAGTCAAGAGGTGCGAGCGGCGGCATTCTGGAGCAACTGGAGATGCTTCATGGAGGATTGGTTGACTCCAAAGGAAATTGCGGAATGTGACGAAGGCCTGAAGGATTGTTTCGGATTGTTTCAAAGTGATTTTGAGAAAGGATAGGCTTGACTTTAGCCAGCTGCCGAAGACGAAAGAAGCTGGATTTGACGACGGATGTCGAGTGCGCCTCAATGACTCAGATTTGATCCAACCTTTTGATCAGGAGTCAGACGCGCTCGGCTTGGGTCCCTCAATAAATTGAAGATTCAATGCAAATGGATGAAATATGTGATTTTTTTTTTTTTTTTTTAAATGCCAATTCACAACCGTTCTGATGTTGGTCGAATCTTAGGCTGCTGCTGTTTCGGTGTAGACGAATGCAAGAAAATGTTGAACGGAAGCCAATGGGCCACAGTTTAATTAGCATTTCCCAGCGCCTATTTGCTTCCTGTTGGGCTCCGGAAGAGTCAGATGAAGGGAAAGATAGCGAGGAAATGGTGTCACTTCAAACCTGTAATCCCAACAACAACAAAAATAACGAATTGTCGTCCTTCCAGCCAGGAGTTTTCTTCCCGTTGTGAGGAAAAAAAAAACCCAAAAACCGGTTGGCAAGTAAAAATGAGGTTGTGTTACATCAGCCGTCCTCCTGCTCCTCGGCCCACTTTGGATCCAGTTTCCACAACAAACACCAAGTAAGACCCCTCCACATTCACGGAATTCTTTCAGAGCTCGCAGAGAATTGTTGAGTTTGCCTGCAGGACGCCCACATGCTCAATTTGGGGACTTTGGCGTGATGACATTGGAAAGGGTCAAACCTGATCGCTTCGTCGGAATTGGATCAAAGTGAGATGACTTCGTCCATTAGCGGTCAGTTTGATGCGCCCCCAAATTTGATGACTGGAGTCTTTCCCAACCTCAACAGAGCCGAGGCATATCTTGCACATTTGCAAAAACGTCATTGGCGAGCGCGGTTTCACTTTGCCACGTCTGACTAAAGGGGGCATCCGGATTTGAACCGGAGACCTCTTGATCTGCAGTCAAATGCTCTACCACTGAGCTATACCCCCGACACTTTAGCCGGAGGGTTATAACACAGACACCTAAATAATTAATACACAGAAGGGGGGGGGGGGGGGGGCCGGTTGGCCGGCTGGCAAACAATTCAGTGCCCCCCCCCCCCACCTGCCGCCCCATTTTGAAGTCAATCCGGGCCTGCCGCTTGCTTTCAGATTACTCCTGCAGATTACAATTGTCCGTTTGGTGTTGCCTTAGAATTCAATTTAAATTGCGCATGCCATTTTGCTAAGCCAAGCACGTTAAATGTTTCATGTCAACATTTTTTTTTAAAGTCGATTCGCCTGCTGATTGTCAGAAGATATGCGGAATGGCGGGCCCCCCCCCCCCCCACCTGCCGCCCCATTTTGAAGTCAATCCGGGCCTGCCGCTTGCTTTCAGATTACTCCTGCAGATTACAATTGTCCGTTTGGTGTTGCCTTAGAATTCAATTTAAATTGCGCATGCCATTTTGCTAAGCCAAGCACGTTAAATGTTTCATGTCAACATTTTTTTTTAAAGTCGATTCGCCTGCTGATTGTCAGAAGATATGCGGAATGGCGAACATGCAAATGTTCCAGTGGGAGATCAGACGCGCTCGCTTAGTTGCGCCTAAGGCGAATTGTTTGTGGAAAGGGGGTCTCGCTTTTGGGAGGTTGTGATGTTGCAAGCGGGGGCTTGCAGCAGGACACGTCTCAGACATCGAGGGACGAGCCATTCACACCCCCGCGGGAGACGTTTCCTCCGTGTGTTTCCTTCCTTGATATTCAAAACACGCATTTGGAAGTGTGTCTGCAAACATAGTTTCACACAAAGAAATGTAAATAAATGCGCATGGCCGGCATTCTTGTGGCTTTGCAGTTCGCAATGTCCTTCCGGCCTGATTTTGCTTGCCTCGTGTAGCTGAATGAGAAATTTGACAAATGCCGCCTTTTGGCATGTCTACAGAATGACTTTTGCAATTGTATTTTTATGTGGCATACATTAAAAAAATATGTCCATATTTTATTTAATAATAAAAATTCACACGTCAGATAACCTTTAAAATGCGGCAACAATAAAATCGATATCATGCACTGCTCTGGAATAAATTAGGAGACCCAAACACCTTTTGTGGGGTATTTTAACCACTTTAAAATTTCAGTAAATAAATGAGGAAATGTTCTGAAGGAAATTCCACCAGTACGTTTATCTTTAATGCTTGCTAAACTAACATTAATTACCAGAAGACAGGATTCTTCTCACTGAAATTATTTTAAAAAGATGGGGTTGAGTAGATGGCTGTGGAGCCTTTTCTGCTCAATGTGGCCGAGGGTCGGCCTGACCAAAATGATTCCTGTTCTTCTGTCTTCGATGTGCCCCCGCAGGGAGCGATTTTGCCCTGCCAATATACCGCCACGGTGTTAACTGGATTCAACTAGAACGTGTGCCAGAGTGTCATAAGGAAACATTTGTACTTGGAATTTGGTTTTCAGTAGTTTTTAGAAAACAAGAGTGCTAATTTTACTCAAACATCTACGTTCTGAAAACTTTGCGGTGGACTCCCTTTTTTTCCCAAGGATGTATAGAATAGAAATCTGAAATTAATGAAATGTTGAATGAAGCAAAATATAGTAGAATGAAACACAAAATGCAAAATATTTCAACATGGGGGGGCAGTCACTATATATTTGAGTTATTAGAGATAAAAAAACGAAGGCAAACATAAAGGTTTCTTGTTTGTAAAATATACGTTCGGGCAGATACTTAAAAACCATTTTCAGTTGAGGTGTTCGTATGCGGTTACTGGTTCCGTCGCATGTCTGATGACGTCGCAGGCTCGCCGCCTTCACTCTGAAGTAGCGGCGTTGTTGTTTACATTCCCCGGAGCTCGCCGTTCCAAAATGAACCTACCGACCATCAACTGCGCCACTTCTGCGTGCAACATGAGACGTAAGCATGTCTTTTATTCATATTTTTTATCATTATAACTGCAAACTGAACACTTAATGTTTGTTCCGCCGACTTATGGGACGCCGGCTAACTATGCTAACAACTGCTAGCACCGAGACTTCTTGTTAGTTTTCTCGACATTTTGTGATCAATATTCACCCCTTCCACCCCCGAACGCTTCATTAAACGTGATCATTACCCCCGTGTTTTACGCAATTTGAAATAGGTGTTTTCCTGTTGGAATTGTATGCGGATAGTCTATTTGTTACGGTACTAATGCATGTTTGTTTATTTTTTGCATTAAGGTATTGTCCAGATTTTTGCTCGAATATAATACCCCACATTTTTTTGGTTGTATTGCACTCGCGTGTAAAAGGTGGTCATTACTGTTTAATGTGGATGTGAGGGGTCGGGGAGATGCATTTTACAGCTTTGCTGTAAAGAAAGGTTGGAAATGCCTGGCAGTCTGCAACCATTCCAGACCTTTTTTTTTTTTTTTAATTAGGGAAGCGCGAAGGAGAGCGCTCGGTCAACTGGACGGCAGAGGAAACGCATGTGCTGCTTTGCGCCTGGAGCGACCAGCGCGTTCAGAAGAGTTTGTCGGAAAATCTGCGCAACCGCCACGTCTTCAAGCACCTGTCGGCCCGCATGACCGACATGGGCTTCTCCCGAAGTCCGCACCAGTGCCGCCTTCGCGTCAAAACGCTGAAGGCCAACTACGCCAGGGCCAAACTGCAGAGGAGCTCAGACTCATCCCAGATGTGCACCTTCAAGTACTTTGACGAAATGGACGCGGTGTTGGGGAGGTCGGCGGATAGCTCGCGAGGTGATCCTCGCTTCCGTGCCCCGGTGGCGGAACTTGGCGATCACATCTTAAGCTCCTTGGGAAGAGAGCACCTGAGCTCCTCCGACGAGAAGGGAAGCCGCCCTCCGTGGCCGTTGTACTTGCACGTCAAGATGGAAAACGGTGAAGATTCCGAGTTCAGCGATGCCGGATTCCAGGAGTCCCCGCAAGAGAGACAGCAGGACCTTGATTTGGGAGCGACTGTCCTTCCTCCACCCGCTGGTATGTCCTCCATCGTTTGATGTATAAAAACAAAAACTACACTTCAATTAGTTTCATTCAGTGGTACTTTGCCTTTTGAGACAAGTAGTTAAAAATTGAAATAAATAATATGAAATAAAGCAAAATGGATACTACGGATCATAAAACTCCAGCGGCGTCCAAAGCACGAAGCGCAGCGAGAGGCTTAAGGAGAACGAGGGCCGACGGGTTTCACATTTGCTCCAAACGGCCTGTTTAATGAATAGCCAACGTCACAAGGCCTTGTTGTCGATGACAAAAAAATAATAACAAATGATGTCACGAGTTTTGTTAGTGATGACGTGTCTGTTTAGGAAAGAACTAAAGCACTCATCATCCATATAAATACCGTGGCCGTTCCAAATTAGTAGGGCTAGAATGCGGACTACTGAGATGATCAGGGCGAAAGCAAAGAAGCTCGGAACCGGCACTGGTATGTAACTGACTCCCGGTATCGGGCCGATAGCGCGCCTATTTCACGATACTCGTGGAAGATGGCGATACCTGCCGCCGATACGAAGGCAAAAAAAAAAAAAAAACACACACATCTGGCATTGAGTAAGTCCTCCTTGGGGGCAGCTCAACCAGTCGCAAATCATCATCTGCGTCAGAAAGAAGTCTTTGTCCGCAATTTTCTTGTCATGAAATAACGTTTTTGATGTCAAAAGGAAAAGGGACATGTGTACCCTGTATCGTAAGTCCCCAAAAAGTGAATACGTGGATTGGTCAAACAAAAGTGGTATCAAACGTGAATGTAAATCAAGAACCCGATGGACCTTGATCGATCTGTGTTCCTGCACTCGCTGGGTTGTGACCGAAACAAGGTCATGGATGCAAGCGGCCAAAATTTCCAGGATGGTCTGAGTACAGGCACTGCTCCTCCACATCAAGAGGAGCTCGATGAAGTGGCTCCGGCACCTGGCTAGGACACCTCGCATGGAGAAGTGCCCTGGAAAAGTCCAATGGGGACTGTCCCCCCGCCCACAACACCAATAAATGCAACCTCCACGTATGTCCTACTTGGGTCGCCCGTGGAATTGCTGGATCAAGTGACTGGGGAAAGGGAAGTCTGAGCTTCCTTGCTGTCCAGGGAATCAGGTTTTGGCTCACGGAACTGGCAAAGTCACAGACATCTTGCTTTGCCTCACGGCTGAATGAAAATTGAATTTCAGAGAGAGAACAAGGTTTGCCTACTCATTCTTGTACTCAAACCAAAAAAATGGAGGTTGTGATTCACATTTGGCTGTTGGTCAGTGACCCGACCATGTTGAATCCATTTTCTACCGCTTATCTGAGGTCGGGTCGCGGGGGCAACAGCCTTAGCTTGGAAGCCCAGACATCCCTTTCCCGAGCCACCTCCCCCAGCTTTACCCGGGGATCCCAAGACACCCCCTGGCCAACGGGGACACATCGGCTCTCCACCGGATGCTCTCCGCCAGATCCTCCCCGTGGCCGCCTGCCGGTGGGACGTGCCCGGAACACCTCCCCGGGGAGGCCTCCGAATCAGATGCCCGAGCCGCCACCTCTAGCTCCCCTCGACGTGGAGGAGAGGCGGCTCGACTCTGAGCCCCTCCCGGATGACCGAGCCTCTCGTCTTATATCTAAGGGAGAGCCCGGACACCCTGCGGAGGCAACTCATTTTGGCCGCTTGTATCCGGGATCCCGTTCTTTCGGTCGAGACCCGCAGCTCGTGACCACAGGCGAGGGCGGGAACCCCGATCGACCGGTAAATCGAGAGCTTCGCCTTTTGGCTCAGCTCCTTCGCCGCGACAGACAGATACAAAGTCCGCATCACAGCTGACGCTGTAGCGATCCGCCTGCCCTTACTTGATACCCCAAAATACTTCCAAGTCTTCCGCTTGGGGGAAGATCCCATCCACGACCAGGGAGAGGGCACTCCACCTGTTTCTGACCATCGTTTCACATTTGGAGGTGCTGATTTTCCAGGTTAAGTGGAAGAATTTGGAAGAAGTACAGCTGAAGAAAATGACTATACTTGAACGGAGTTGCAAATCCATTCTTGACTCACTTCTCAATCTTTGCAAATCACAACCAGAATCCCGACAGCCATATTTACTTGGCAAATGCTACGCGGGCTTTCACTTGTATCGCACCTTTGTCAAAGGGTAAAGTCGAAATTATGGATCTTACGAGTTCGGTGTCCGCAGCTGGAGGGCAGCGACCGGGATAAGGCGAACGAGGGTTCTCCCTCTGTCTGGCAGTCGCCATTGTAGGAAGACCTGCTGTGATAGAAAAGGGGCCAAGGGTTCCTCATTTGCTTCCGTTTGTGGTCTTCTGCGCGAGGGCAGGGCGGAAACCGGGCAATGCGGCAAATTGGAGACTAGGGGGCAGAATACTCATTTGTCTCCTTTTTTGTCTCCTCGTGTCTCAGCACCACCCTTAGAAGTTGCCAGCTCTCCTCCCCCGGCCGCAGTCGTGGCGAACCCGGCCGCAGCCGACGACGGTGCGGGGGCCGCCGCCCGCCACGTCGACGACTCCCGACTGGAGCCCGCCCTGCAGCACCTGGCGCATTGCTACCAGCAACTGCTTTCGGAGACGCGGGCCCTCCTGGCGCAGCTGGAGAAGCAACGGCAGGAGCAGGCCACCTGGCACCAGGAGCTCCTGAGCCAGTGGCTCCAGAGGCAGCGGGAAGCGGCCGAGAGGGAAGAGAGGCGGGAGAAGGCCCACATGGAGCACCAGATCCAGGTGCTGGAGCTCCTCACCTGCCTGGTCCGCGAGCAGGTGTGCAAATGCCCGGGCGGCGGCGGCGGCATCACCACCACCACCAGCGCGCGGGCCGCCGAGGTGTCCAGTGAACTCCACCACATCTTCACCAAAGGCGAAAACTGACATTTCAATTGCCGTTGTGAAGCCTCAAATGTCACCTTTGAGCACGTGGACGGACATTAAACGCCACAAGCGCAACTGACTCGACTGCTCCTGTGGTTTTCTTGCCATTATCGACTCCATCCGGATCGCTGTCTAAACACGTCGATGTCGATTGTGGTCCGTATTCCCGTCAAAAGTCAGCAGCGCCGGTCGACGCGACCCGGAGTTTTCAAAATGTTCTCATTTTGGTTCCAAGTCGCTGATTGAGGGTCTTTTTTGGCCGCATTCCACCCAAACTAGTAACCACAGTTTCTTTCTCCCCGATGACAGTTACGCTTGAAATTTGGCAGGCGTGTCTATGGGGAGTAGCCCTCCAAAAATTCTCATGCCCGGTGAAAAACTACATTTTAATTTGCAGCAGTCGTGTCATGGTCACTTTAGCGCTCCAAGAAAAGCGAACTCCAGTTTTTGAAAACTCGGCCCCTGAAGCCAGTTTGTCTTTGCAACGTGATATTTGGTAGACTTGTCAAGCGTAGACCTACCAAAAAAAACTCAAAAAATAATGCCCAATAAGACACGCAATTTCTGCTGTTTTGGTTTTACTGCAGCCATGTCATGGTCATTTTGGTCATTCTCGGTGGTTCTCATTACCCACCAAAGCCAGTTTCACCTAGCGACTCCAAATTTGTGTGTGTGGGGGGGGTGGGGGATGGGGGGGGTCTGTGATGCAAAAAAGGTCCCCACCTTTTTTGCATCACAGACCAGTTGAAACTAGTGCATGTTCGCAGACCGGCAACCGTTTTTTTCCCATTTTTTTTCATCAGTAGTCCTGCAAAAAATGTCTCAATCAAGATGTCTGCCGTTTTTTGCTTGGAAGTGGCCATTTTATGGTCACTTTGACCATTTTTCGGTATATTTTGAAGCCAGTTCTACTTAACAACTTGAAATCTGGTTGTCACGTCTTTCACGAGCAGACCCACAAAAAAGTCTCAAGAAGATGCAATACCCCAAAAGACAGGAAATGTGCCATGTTTGTTTGAAGTGGCTCTTTTTCATCCCTTTCCAGGTGTCCTTACTGACGGGAGGACTCGTCTAATATTTGTTCTGTCTTTTCTGCGGTGATTCCGACAAGACCGATTAATCTCTGCTGCTTAATACCATTTTATGCAACATGTACACTGGATGCAGCAATGCCCCTCTTAAATATGAATGAAATGTGTCCAAATTAGGATTCAGTAATCTGTCATCACTGGGAGCCAAACCCCAAAAAAAAACAACACCAAAAACAAAGCAAGCATGACTTTCTTTAACATATTTTTTTAACCTTTTTGCAGAACCAATTCTTTGGGAATTAATTGACTATGAAACAGATACTGGCACGTAAAGTTAAAGTGACGCGAGAGTGGTGGAAAAACCAACCGGAGGGGGAAAAAACACCGTGACAATAGAACGAAAGAGAAACCAATTGGCGAGGGGGGGGAGGGGGCGTGGCCGGGCGGCTTCCCTCTCTTCTGATTGGCTGCCGTCCTCGCACTTAAAAGCCGCCGGCGTCGAGCTCGGCTCACAGCGAGCGGGAGAGACGCACGGGAGGGACCCATCGCTCCCCTCACTCACTCACGGACTCTTTCAACCTTGCACGCCGGAGACCGCGCACCTTCACGTGGCTTCCACCTCGCGGTCACCACGCTGACTTGAGGGCATCTTTTTTTTCCCCCCCCCGCTTGTTTGTTTTGTTTTTCTGGTTGCATTGTCAGCCTCGCGAGTACCCTGAGGAGTGTTGGGACACTCGGAGGGTCTTTTTGGAGGCTGGGAAGGACGCACGCGCTACCTGCAGCCGAGGTAAACTGAATACACGTATTTGTGTGCGCGTGCGTGCGTCTGGGTGGGTGTGCGTGTATGTGTTTGCAGGAAAGAAAGTGGAAAAAAACAAGCGAAAATATGCAATGAACGGAATAGATGGAAAAATGCAAATCAACAAATACAAAATAAATGGAAAGGCGTAGTATACAATTAAGAAAAAAATAGGAACAATAAATAGAAATGAAGCAAAAGAATGTACCAGGGAATATTTTTAAATCATTAAAAAATGAACCATGAAAATAAAGAAGGGAGAACCCCAAATTTAAAAAAAGTAAAGCATAAATGCCCCAAAAAATAATAACAAAGTGAATAGCAAGGACCAGGGTGAAGGCAAAAAAATGCTATTTTTTTCAATTAAAAAAAATAATAAAATGAAGCAGCATGTACAAGAGTTGAGCGGAAAAAAAATAAAGTCCAAAATCAAATACAATGATGAGTATCAAGCACCAGGTGGAAATGAATATACTCTCTTATTTATAATTTTAATTTTTCCCCCTTAATTAATAGCATATTGATGATGTGACTTTTTGCTCACTCTGGGCCTCCGTAGTGATTCAAAATTACTCATTTTTAAGCACAGTTCACTTGAATGACAAATTACACGCGTGTACTGTAATTTGAATCAATGGCAGTGTGTTTTCAATGCTTGTGTTTGTTTGGAGACACACACACACACACACACCTTCTGGCTAAGAGGATTCCCGCCACCTCGCCTGCAACTTAATCCCCAACGTCCTCTTGACTTGGGCACATTTCATTTTCTATGCGGTTGCAAAACGCTCAATAATGTGGTCGGCCAACTCGGTTTTTGTTGCCTTTGTTTTTTTTTATTTTTATTTTTTATTGCTTTGCATTAGAAAGTGCCACAGAGTGTACCTTATGGTGTGGCCTGTGACCTTCATTGTTGTCATCCACCTCATCTTTCTCTGAAGAAAATGGACTGGCTTGATTTATGATTTTTTTGTGGGGAGGGGGTTAATATATATTTTGATTTTTTAACTTTTTATGAAAATGGAAATTACCTCGTTATTTAAAAAAGAATATACATTTACAGCTAGCTAAGAAAAATATCATTTTTTTATTACAAAAATAAAACCTGACTGCAGAATTAAAAAAAAAAAAATTCGACTTGTTTAGTGTTAATTAATCCTCTTCCAAAAATGAATCCCAAAAGTAACATGGATGTTCATTTGCCATTTGAAAATGGATCCGCTTCACTTTCGGATCACTTGCGGTCCTCAAGTCAATTCAAATGATCGGCACATTTTCTGGACTTTTCACTAATGTGAAAAAGTCAACGTCATCATTTATATTTTCCAAAATTGAGTATGTGAGTTGAATTTTGAAATTTTGAACCCAGGCGCTAATCCCATTGCTTCCAATTTGTCAGATGGCTAAACACACACACAATGTAAACAAGACCCCCCCCAACCCACTTGTTTGTATTGTTTACTTTCAGCTGGCACCCTGCAAGCTAGTATGCTAAAGCAACAGCAGCGTGACGA